CTCTCAGTACCCCGAATGTCACCTCTCAGCACCCCGAATGTCACCTCTCAGCACCCCGAATGTCACCTCTCAGCACCCCGAATGTCACCTCTCAGCACCCCGAATGTCACCTCTCAGCACCCCGAATGTCACCTCTCAGCACCCCGAATGTCACCTCTCAGCACCCCGAATGTCACCTCTCAGCACCCCGAATGTCACCTCTCAGCACCCCGAATGTCACCTCTCAGCACCCCGAATGTCACCTCTCAGCACCCCGAATGTCACCTCTCAGCACCCCGAATGTCACCTCTCAGCACCCCGAATGTCACCTCTCAGTACCCCGAATGTCACCTCTCAGCACCCCGAATGTCACCTCTCAGCACCCCGAATGTCACCTCTCAGCACCCCGAATGTCACCTCTCAGCACCCCGAATGTCACCTCTCAGCACCCCGAATGTCACCTCTCAGTACCCCGAATGTCACCTCTCAGTACCCCGAATGTCACCTCTCAGCACCCCGAATGTCACCTCTCAGCACCCCGAATGTCACCTCTCAGCACCCCGAATGTCACCTCTCAGCACCCCGAATGTCACCTCTCAGCACCCCGAATGTCACCTCTCAGCACCCCGAATGTCACCTCTCAGCACCCCGAATGTCACCTCTCAGCACCCCGAATGTCACCTCTCAGTACCCCGAATGTCACCTCTCAGTACCCCGAATGTCACCTCTCAGCACCCCGAATGTCACCTCTCAGCACCCCGAATGTCACCTCTCAGCACCCCGAATGTCACCTCTCAGCACCCCGAATGTCACCTCTCAGCACCCCGAATGTCACCTCTCAGCACCCCGAATGTCACCTCTCAGCACCCCGAATGTCACCTCTCAGCACCCCGAATGTCACCTCTCAGCACCCCGAATGTCACCTCTCAGTACCCCGAATGTCACCTCTCAGCACCCCGAATGTCACCTCTCAGTACCCCGAATGTCACCTCTCAGCACCCCGACTGTCACCTCTCAGTACCCCGAATGTCACCTCTCAGCACCCCGAATGTCACCTCTCAGTACCCCGAATGTCACCTCTCAGTACCCCGAATGTCACCTCTCAGCACCCCGAATGTCACCTCTCAGTACCCCGAATGTCACCTCTCAGCACCCCGAATGTCACCTCTCAGCACTCCGACTGTCACCTACCTACACTCCGCCCAAACCGTTGTTGTTTTAGATTCAGCTACTCAGAACGAAATGTCCATGTAGCACGGGCTATGGTGAGCCCGTAATTGAGTTCGGTTATTCGCGATAACCTTGTTACTGTGTTTTCGACGCCTGCCTAACCCCATCCCTCCACACACACACACACACACACACACACACACACACACACACACACACACACACACACACACACACACATATATATATATATATATATATATATATATATATATATATATATATACTATCTCCAGCCTCCCTTTTCTCATGGTTCACCTCATCACTCATTGCAAGTATCCAACCCAACACTCTGGGCCAGATTCACGAAGCAGTTACGCAAGTACTCACGAACCTGTACATCTTTTCTCAGTCTTTGGCGGCTTTGTTCACAATTATTAAACAGTTAATGAGCTCCGAAGCACCAGGAGGCTGTTTATAACAATAACGACAGTTGATTGAGAAGTTTTCATGCCTGTAAACTGTTTAATAAATGTAACCAAAGCCGTCAAAGATTAAGGAAAGATGTACACGTTCGTAAGTACTTGCGTAACTGCTTCGTGAATCTGACCCCAGGTTTTAGCCTCATCAGAGACCTCCACAAGAACACTTCAAGATATTAACACCAATAAAAGCCTAAAGATCTTATGTACTAAGGATGACAGAATTTCCAGGTAAAACAAGACACATTAACCATTGTTTAAATTAACACAATTTCAATTAGATGTGTTCCGTAAACATTGTAATTTGATAGGGACACAGAGAAAAGCAGTGAGGGTTGTGTAGCATTAAAGATCAAATGTTAATGGAGTTTTTAAGAAATAATAACACCATATTTGAATGGTTCCACACACGTTCTCTCGGCTATAATAATAAGCAGATATTACTCGGGTATATAATAGGACACTGGTATCATATATAACATTTAGAACATAACTGTACATCCAGGCAAGATTATAAGAGATAATACTAAGCTCAACAGACGTACAAAATGATAAAAGAATTCTCTTAATGTTATGGCATATAAGTTATGGTCATATAAAATGAAAGTTCAAAGACTCCTCGATCACAAGGAAATGATCATGGGACATTAATAAAATTTTCCAGCGTATCATGGAAAATAGGAATGAGGGGAAATGGTAAACAAGACTTGGTGTTTATTCAGCGTGAAGCAGATTAAGAGGAGTTTAAATACAATGTCTAGTCATTTGCGACCATTGGCTGCTGGTGTTTGAGGTGGCTGGGGTTTCAAGGGGTTTTCTGAGTGGGAAACTGGAAGGGAATATTGAATCTAAGTGGTAGTATACCACTGGTGTAAGAGCATAAGAGAATACCACCCCAAACCATCCATACAGATACCACCCATACCATACAGATACCACCCACACCATACAGATACCACCCACACCATCACCACTTTCACCATTACCATCCATACCATAACCACCCGCAGGAACACCAGATTCCACACCCACACCACCACCCACATACCCACACACCCACACCACCACCCACATACCCACACACCCCCACCACCACCCACACACCCACACCACCACCCACACACCCACACCACCACCCACATACGCACACACCCACACCACCACCCACACACCCACACCACCACCCACATACCCACACACCCCCACCACCACCCACACACCCACACCACCACCCACACACCCCCACCACCACACCCACACACCCACACCACCACCCACACACCCACACCACCACCCACATACCCACACACCCACACCACCACCCACACACCCACACCACCACCCACATACCCACACACCCCCACCACCACCCACACACCCACACCACCACCCACACACCCACACCACCACCCACACACCCACACCACCACCCACACACCCCCACCACCACCCACACACCCACACCACCACCCACATACCCACACACCCACACCACCACCCACACACCCACACCACCACCCACACACCCACACCACCACCCACACACCCACACCACCACCCACACACCCACACCACCACCCACACACCCCCACCACCCACCCACACACCCACACCACCACCCACACACCCACACCACCACCCACACACCCACACCACCACCCACATACCCACACACCCACACCACCACCCACACACCCACACCACCACCCACATACCCACACACCCACATCAACAATGATGAACAAGGCGATGAGATGATATTGATGTAGCTAGATTTTCACAAAATCTCAGTGACATCAATTTGTGTTAAAAAATTATGCGTAAGATGACGCGCATTGCCAATGTGACATCACAAAGGTGTTATCATGCGTTATCGTTAGATAACACATGATAACACCTTTGCGATGTGCATGTCATAATAATTCCCGTATTACATGACAAAGCGACTTGAGAATGGTCCAGGACGGACCAAAACGTCGTCGTCCCTTCACCTTCTAGTGTGTGGTCTGGTCATCTGAATCATCTTAATTCTGCTGTATTTAAGGTTACCAGCAAAACCATCACTGTTGCTACACCCAACCTTAAGGCTGGAAAATAAGAACCAACATTGGATATCGCAAACTAGAAGCCAACATAGAACACTGCAAACTAGAAGCCAACATAGAACACTGCAAACTAGAAGCCAACATAGAACACTGCAAACTAGAAGCCAACATAGAACACTGCAAACTAGAAGCCAACATAGAACACTGCAAACTAGAAGCCAACATAGAACACTGCAAACTAGAAGCCAACATAGAACACTGCAAACTAGAAGCCAACATAGAACACTGCAAACTAGAAGCCAACATAGAACACTACAAACTAGAAGCCAACATAGAACACTGCAAACTAGAAGCCAACATAGAACACTGCAAACTAGAAGCCAACATAGAACACTGCAAACTAGAAGCCAACATAGAATACCGCAAACTAGAAGCCAACATAGAAAACCGCAAACTAGAAGCCAACATAAAACACTGCAAACTAGAAGCCAACATAGAATACCGCAAACTAGAAGCCAACATAGAATACCGCAAACTAGAAGCCAACATAGAACACTGCAAAACAGGAACCACACAAAATTACTTAAGTAAGCGTTGCCCAACCACTTGGGCTGGACGGTAGAGCGACGGTCTCGCTTCATGCAGGTCGGCGTTCAATCCCCGACCGCCCCAAGTGGTTGGGCACCATTCCTTTCCCCTGTCCCATCCCAAATCCTTATCCTGACCCCTTCCAAGTGCTACATAGTCTTAATGACTTGGTGCTTTCTCCTGATAAATACTTTACCTTGCACACACACAGAAGCTTGAGACACAGAAGCTTGAGACACAGAAGCTTAAGAAAAAAATGCTTGAGACACAGAAGCTAAAGACACAGAAGCTTGAGACACAGAAGCTTGAGACACAGAAGCTTAAGAAAAAAATGCTTGAGACACAGAAGCTTGAGACACAGAGGCTTGAGACACAGAAGCTTGAGACACAGAAGCTTGAGACACAGAAGCTTAAGAAAAAAATGCTTGAGACACAGAAGCTTAAGACACAGAAGCTTGAGACACAGAAGCTTGAGACACAGAAGCTTAAGAAAAAAATGCTTGAGACACAGAAGCTTGAGACACAGAGGCTTGAGACACAGAAGCTTGAGACACAGAAGCTTGAGACACAGAAGCTTAAGACAAAAATGCTTGAGACACAGAAGCTTAAGACACAGAAGCTTGAGACACAGAAGCTTAAGAAAAAAAATGCTTGAGACACAGAAGCTTGAGACACAGAGGCTTGAGACACAGAAGCTTGAGACACAGAAGCTTGAGACACAGAAGCTTAAGAAAAAATGCTTGAGACACAGAAGCTTGAGACACAGAGGCTTGAGACACAGAAGCTTGAGACACAGAAGCTTAAGAAAAAAATGCTTGTGACACAGAAGCTTGAGACACAGAGGCTTGAGACACAGAAGCTTGAGACACAGAAGCTTAAGACACAGAAGCTTAAGACACAGAAGCTTGAGACACAGAAGCTTGAGACACAGAAGCTTGAGACAAAGAAGCTTGAGACAAAGAAGCTTGAGACACAGAAGCTTGAGACACAGAAGCTTGAGACACAGAGCTTGAGATAAAGAAGCTTGAAACACAGAAGCTTGAAACACAAGCTTAAGACACAGAAGCTTGAGACACAGAAGCTTGAGACAAAGAAGCTTGAGACACAGAAGCTTGAGACACAGAAGCTTAAGACACAGAAGCTTGAGACACAGAAGCTTGAGACACAGAAGCTTGAGACACAGAAGCTTGAGACAAAGAAGCTTGAGACACAGAAGCTTGAGACACAGAAGCTTGAGACACAGAAGCTTGAGACACAGAAACTTGAGGCACAGAAGCCTGAGACACACAAGCTTAAGACACACAAGCTTAAGACACACAAGCTTGAGACAAAGAAGCTTGAGACACAGAAGCTTGAGACACAGAAGCTTGAGACACAGAAGCTTGAGACACAGAAGCTTGAGACACAGAAACTTGAGACACAGAAGCTTGAGACAAAGAAGCTTGAGACACAGAAGCTTGTGACACAGAAGCTTGAAACACAGAAGCTTGAGACACAGAAGCTTGAGACCCAGAAGATTGAGACACAGAAGCTTGAGACACAGAAGCTTGAGACACAGAAGCTTGAGACACAGAAGCTTAAGACACAGAAGCTTGAGACACAGAAGCTTGAGATACAGAGGCTTGAGATACAGAAACTTAAGACACAGAAGCTTAAGACACAGAAGATTAAGACACAGAAGCTTGAGATACAGAAGCTTGAGACACAGAAGCTTGAGACACAGAAGCTTAAGACAAAGAAGCTTGAGACACAGAAGCTTAAGACACAGAAGCTTAAGACAAAGAAGCTTGAGACACAGAAGCTTAAGACAAAGAAGCTTGAGACACAGAAGCTCAAGACACAGAAGCTTAAGACAAAGAAGCTTGAGACACAGAAGCTGTCAATCTTCGGCTATCCAGAGAATCTATCGAAACTGATGCTCCTACGTCTTGAAGACACAGAAGCTTGAGACAAAGAAGCTTGAGACACAGAAGCTTGAGACACAAAAGCTTGAGACACAGAAGCTTGAGACACAGAAGCTTAGTCAAACCGTCAGAAGTGTCGTTTAGACTAAGCTAGCGTTGACTGTCGCCCATTGGCTGGGTTGATCCTCTAGGTGTAATACAACTCTAGTATACACCCCTCATTTGTGTAATGTGTACTTAAACCCAACATTTACAACACTTCTCTTGCAATTCCGTTGAAGCCATGCAGTTAATTAAACAACATGAAAATCCTTATATATCTTATAAGATATCCTTATATATCTTATATATCTTATATATCTTATATCCTTATAAGACTCGCTTATATGAAGATGAGGGTTTGCTAGACTTGAAATGGATGTAATTTAATCCAATCAAACACCTGTTCCCCTTAACAGCTGTCTCCCTTAACACCTGTCCCCCCTTAACACCTGTCCCCCTTAACACCTGTCTCTCTTAACACCTGTCTCCCTTAACATCTGTCCTCATGCTGAACACACTGCTTGAACACCCAGTGTAAGGTCAGGCTCACCATAGCCCGTGCTACTTGCCCCGCTCCTGTGCCAGGTAAATTACGGGCTCGCCATAGCCCGTGCTGCTTGGAACGTGTTCCGAGTAGCTGAATCTATAACAACAACAACCCAGTGTAAAAAAAAATTTACGCTGGTTTACAAAAAGGTGAAAAACACCGCGACATAGACCCTTCACGAGCCTAATGATTAGGGGTTTCGGTAGGTTAGGTTGGTAGCATATATGACGTTTTGAGTTAGACTAAACCACTGCATTTCTTACGGAGGGGAGATAGAGAGAGAATGGACCTTTTAATAGTGCTTGTGAGCAAGGCAGGAAATACCTGAGTGTTCACCATACAGGTTTGACCACTGTGAGGGAATGACAGAGGCTCTGTAGCTTCTTACTTCTCTTCCAGCACAGCCCTGAAGCCGTGTGACGTGTTCTAGGTGAGTCCTGGGGCTTTGTGACGTGTTCTAGGTGAGTCCTGGGGCCTTTGTGACGTGTTCTAGGTGAGTCCTGGGGCCTTTGTGACGTGTTCTAGGTGAGTCCTGGGGCTTTGTGACGTGTTCTAGATGAGTTTCGGGGCTTTGTGACGTGTTCTAGGTGAGTCCTGGGGCCTTTGTGACGTGTTCTAGATGAGTTTTGGGGCTTTGTGACGTGTTCTAGGTGAGTCCTGGGGCTTTGTGACGTGTTCTAGATGAGTTTCGGGGCTTTGTGACGTGTTCTAGGTGAGTCCTGGGGCTTTGTGACGTTCCAGCTGAGTCCTGGAGCGTTGTGACGTGTTCCAGTGGAAGACTTGGAACATTCGTTGACTTTGGTACATGAGATTTGACGGTATAAATACGGGACAGATAACAGACTGTGTGAATGGTAGATATAACGAGAATCAGTGGGTGAGGGAGGGTAGATATAACGAGTCAGTGGGTGAGGAAGGGTAGATATAACCAGAGTCAGTGGGTGAGGGATGGTAGATATAACGAGTCAGTGGGTGAGGAAGGGTAGATATAACGAGTCAGTGGGTGAGGAAGGGTAGATATAACGAGTCAGTGGGTGAGGGAGGGTAGATACAACCAGAGTCAGTGGGTGAGGGATGGTAGATATAACAAGAATCAGTGGGTGAAAGAGGGTAGATATAAGGGTAGATTTAACCAGAGTCAGTGGGTGAGGGAGGGTAGATATAACAAGAATCAGTGGGTGAAAGAGGGTAGATATAAGGGTAGATACAACCAGAGTCAGTGGGTGTAGGAGGGTAGATTTAACCAGAGTCAGTGGGTGAGAGGGTAGAAACCATTGTAGCAGCAATAGAAATAAAAGCGATTCCGTTATCCTCGAAATATTTCCTCCTTCTTTACTTCGTGAAATCCTGTTGATAACGGGAGTTCTTCTACTCCCGTTAGGCTGATCTAACCTTCCCTGGTGATTGTCTGAATCTGGTAGGTTATCTTGAGATGATTTCGGGGCTTAGCGTCCCCGCGGCCCGGTCTTCGACTAGGCCTCCTTTTTGTTACACAACCCCAGGAAGCAGCCCGTAGCAGCTGTCTTAACTCCCAGGTACCTATTTACTGCTAGATAAATAGAGGCATCAAGGCGAAAGAAACTTCCCATTTGTTTCCGCCTCCACCGGGGATCGAACACGGAGCCTTAGGACTACGAATCCCGAGCGCTGTCCACTCAGCTGTCAGGCCTTTAGTAAAGGATCTCTGCAGACTTTTCAGCTCTGCAATCTTGCTCGTTGTTCAAGGGGAAAATGAGACCATCCAGCAATATCAAAATGACTAACACACACGTTTGGGGGCCCAGTGGCTGGGCGGACAGCACGCTGGACGCGTGATCCTGTGGTCCCGGGTTCGATTCCCGGCGCCGGCGAGAAACAATAGGCAGAGTTTTTTTTCACCCTGATGCCCCTGTTACCTAGCGGTTAATAGGTACCTGGGAGTTAGTCAGCGGTCACGGGCTGTTTCTTGGGGGGAGGGGGGGGGGTATTTGTGTGTGGGGAAAAAAAGTAGTAGTAACAGTTGATTGACAGTTGAGAGGCGGGCCAAAAGAGCAGAGCTCAACTCCCGCAAATACAACTAGGTGAATACAACTAGGTGAATACAACTAGGTGAATACAACTAGGTGAATACAACTAGGGGAATACAACTAGGTGAATACAACTAGGTGAATACAAATAGGTGAATACAACTAGGTGAATACAACTAGGTGAATACAACTAGGTGAATACAACTAGGTGAATACAACTAGGTGAATACAACTAGGTGAATACAACTAGGTGAATACAACTAGGGGAATACAACTAGGTGAATACAACTAGGTGAATACAAATAGGTGAATACAACTAGGTGAATACAACTAGGTGAATACAACTAGGTGAATACAACTAGGTGAATACAACTAGGTGAATACAACTAGGTGAATACAACTAGGTGAATACAACTAGGTGAATACAACTAGGTGAATACAACTAGGGGAATACAACTAGGTGAATACACATCGCATTCACCGGAACGTGGAAGTTACCAAACAATAATAATAATTTCGTCAGTATTTAAAACCGAATTATAAATTTAAAACTAAATTATAATTTCGTCAGTATTGCGCATGCGCACGTGGAATTGTTTGTGTTCCAGTTAAAAAAAAAAAAACAAACTGCCTCCTTACTATGGCAATATAAGTCAATTGCGAGATCAAAGTTAAATTTTTATTATATCGTTAACGAAATCTTTCGCAATAGATTAACTTCTCACTAAATATGATTTTGATCACTGTGTCAGAAATTTTAAAGCAGGCACCTGTTGAGAGGCCGTGAGTGACACCTGTTGGCGTTACCTGTTGGTGTTTACCTGTTGGTGTTTACCTGTTGGCGTTATCTGTTGGTGTTATCTGTTGGTGTTACCTGTTGGTGTTACGTGTTGGCGTTATCTGTTGTTGTTTACCTGTTGTTGTTACCTGTTGGTGTTATCTGTTGGTGTTATCTGTTGGCGTTATCTGTTGGTGTTACCTGTTGGTGTTACCTGTTGGCGTTACCTGTTGGCGTTATCTGTTGGCGTTATCTGTTGGTGTTACCTGTTGGCGTTACCTGTTGGTGTTTACCTGTTGGCGTTATCTGTTGTTGTTACCTGTTGGCGTTATCTGTTGGTGTTATCTGTTGGTGTTACCTGTTGGTGTTACCTGTTGGCGTTACCTGTTGTTGTTACCTGTTGGCGTTATCTGTTGGCGTTTACCTGTTGTTGTTACCTGTTGGTGTTATCTGTTGGTGTTTACCTGTTGGCGTTACCTGTTGGCGTTATCTGTTGGTGTTTACCTGTTGGCGTTACCTGTTGGCGTTATCTGTTGGCGTTATCTGTTGGTGTTACCTGTTGGCGTTACCTGTTGTTGTTACCTGTTGGCGTTACCTGTTGGTGTTATCTGTTGGCGTTACCTGTTGTTGTTACCTGTTGGCGTTATCTGTTGGTGTTTACCTGTTGTTGTTACCTGTTGGTGTTATCTGTTGGTGTTTACCTGTTGGCGTTACCTGTTGGCGTTATCTGTTGGCGTTATCTGTTGGTGTTACCTGTTGGCGTTATCTGTTGGTGTTACCTGTTGGTGTTACCTGTTGTTGTTACCTGTTGGCGTTATCTGTTGGTGTTATCTGTTGGTGTTACCTGTTGTTGTTACCTGTTGGCTTTATCTGTTGGTGTTATCTGTTGGCGTTATCTGTTGGTGTTACCTGTTGGTGTTACCTGTTGGCGTTACCTGTTGGCGTTACCTGTTGTTGTTACCTGTTGGCGTTATCTGTTGGTGTTACCTGTTACCTGTTGGCGTTATCTGTTGGTGTTATCTGTTGGTGTTATCTGTTGGTGTTACCTGTTGGTGTTACCTGTTGGCGTTACCTGTTGGCGTTACCTGTTGGCGTTACCTGCTGGCGTTATCTGTTGTTGTTACCTGTTGGTGTTATCTGTTGGTGTTACCTGTTGTTGTTACCTGTTGGCGTTATCTGTTGGTGTTATCTGTTGGCGTTACCTGTTGGCGTTACCTGTTGGTGTTACCTGTTGGCGTTACCTGTTGGCGTTACCTGTTGGCGTTACCTGTTGGCGTTACCTGTTGGCGTTACCTGTTGGCGTTACCTGTTGGCGTTACCTGTTGGCGTTACCTGTTGGTACAAACAAATTTACAAAATTTGTTTGTAAATTTCGCATTATTCCTCATTTAATTAAAAATGTGTTCAAACAATCTCAATTATATACGCTATAGTTGAGTGAAATTTTGTTTATATAATATAATAATTCATTGTGTAGGGGGGCACAGGAAGCCAAAGTGTAGACAAGCTAACTAACTCACTTACTGCTAGGTGAACAGGTATATTAGGTGAAAGGAAATGTGCCCAATCATTTCTGTCCCACCCGGTATTCGAACCCGAAATTCTCGACTGTGCGTCGAGAATGAAGCCGAATGTACTACAGGGACCCTAGATGTAGTTTGAATGGTGATATATATTAGGAAATATAGTGCAGTATGAATGACAACGGTATGCGCAAACAGTAGTATTGGCAACAGTAGTAGTTAACAGTAATAGCATATACCCTAACGTCAATTAATAAAAACTATAAATTGTTGTTTATAATTACTCAGTAATAGAAATAAAATTAATATCACAAAAAGCACTGACAATGCTAATAATTGATTTAGAAATAATATTGCCACTCTCTCTCCATACACCAAACTAGTGAAGATCAGAACTGTAACAATTGTACACAATTGAGGAAGACTATTGTATAATCACTCACATCATAACACAACCCGCTAATTGGTCAACAACCCGGTACCCAATTACTATTGGGTGAATAGAGACTAACAGTTAAGGATTGACGTTTATTCCTTACTCCTCGTTTACGTTCCAACTTAACAAGCACGACACGGTAATTAGTCGAGCTTAAATTTAGGTAAATATATAGATAGGTCAATCAAAGCAACTCTGATAAGCTCTCACGTCTATCCTATAATTTATTGATAGAACATTCCTCTATAACCATTTAGGTGAATTCTTAAATTAACAAGTTAATGGTTCATTGATAATGATATCCTATGTAGACCACCGTCACAAAGATAGTATATTATTTCACACACAGATATCACAATAGCGTGATATATCCATTCATTCTAGTATAGGCATTCAGGTATATTATTTTCACTGTGCAATATAATGCTTGGTAAAGTAGTTTTTAACTTCTTCACTAAAGCCTTCTGTCTCAATATTTACTGTTACAATTGCGCAGTTTGACTAAATTTGAGGGTTTCAACAGGTGCAGATTGTATATCTAAATGCCATATATGTATTTCCTCATATATGCCTATTCTCTGTATTATTTGGATTTAGTGGCCTACAGTTCATTGCAAATTGTAAATGTATTCACCTAGAATACACCTAGTGTGTGTGTGTGTGTGTGTGTGTGTGTGTGTGTGTGTACTCACCTAATTATGCTTGCGGGGGTTGAGCTCTGGCTCTTTGGTCCCGCCTCTCAACCGTCAATCAACTGGTGTACAGATTCCTGAGCCTACTGGGCTCTATCATATCTACATTTGAAACTGTGTATGGAGTCAGCCTCCACCACATCACTTCCTAGTGCATTAAATGGTGCACTAGTGCATTGTGTGTGTGTGTGTGTGTGTGTGTGTGTGTGTGTGTGTGTGTGTGTGTGTGTGTGTGTGTGTGTGTGTGTACTCACCTAGTTGTACTCACCTAGTTGTGTTTGCGGGGGTTGAGCTCTGGCTCTTTGGTCCCGCCTCTCAACCGTCAATCAACAGGTGTACAGATTCCTGAGCCTATCGGGCTCTGTCATATCTACACTTGAAACTGTGTATGGAGTGAGCCTCCACCACATCACCCCCTAATGCATTCCATTTGTCAACCACTCTGACACTAAAAAAGTTCTTTCTAATATCTCTGTGGCTCATTTGGGCACTCAGTTTCCACCTGTGTCCCCTTGTGCGTGTTCCCCTTGTGTTAAATAGACTGTCTTTATCTACCCTATCAATCCCCTTCAGAATCTTGAATGTGGTGATCATGTCCCCCCTAACTCTTCTGTCTTCCAGCGAAGTGAGGTTTAATTCCCGTAGTCTCTCCTCGTAGCTCATACCTCTCAGCTCGGGTACTAGTCTGGTGGCAAACCTATGAACCTTTTCCAGTTTAGTCTTATCCTTGACTAGATATGGACTCCATGCTGGGGCTGCATACTCCAGGATTGGCCTGACATATGTGGTATACAAAGTTCTGAATGATTCTTTACATTAATGTGTGTGTGTGTGTGTGTGTGTGTATGTATGTGTGTGTGTGTGTGTGTGTGTGTGTGTGTGTGTGTGTGTGTGTGTGCGGTGCCTCTTTTTTAATGTTTAATCCTCAATTATACATTTTCCTCCTCACAGATCGCAAACTCTTATTTATAACCATTAATTTAGTCTGTAAATAGTTCCCTTGTTTCAATATTGACCCTTGTTTTCATGAGGGTAATAGTTCAGCCTCTGTCAGCCACTTATGCTTCCTCACTAGATTTATCGGGTATACCAAAATTTCCTCGACACCATTCTTAAAGACGTGTGTTTGAAATGCAATAATTCTGAATTGCTTTAAATGGTACATACAGCTCTTAAGAATTACATGTTACTAATGACTAGCAATTCCCAAGAAGTAAAAATTAATGAATTGGTAACAATAATATAGAAATATACCCTACATCCCAAAGGAGATATAATGCACAAATATGATAAAAAACTGCTAAGCCAGCATGATTAGATAACAAATGGAAGAGGCACGAGGACAGGATAGGATGAAAAGGAGGGAAGGGACGATGCCCAACCGCTTTGACACTTATACGAAGGCATTCCTCCAGTTTGACATGTTGTTTGGCCCTTGTCAAGCTTATTACGCTTGACCAGTGGTGTCACCAAGCTTAGGTCACCACGTTCACGCCATCGGGTGAGGTCACGGTATTAATATTGACAGAAGGGGTCAGAGCTGGAAGAGGTCACACCTAGAAGAGGTCACAGCTGGAAGGGGTCACAGCCACATATATCCGGTCATACCCGCAGTAGTATATCATAACCTCCTCCCATCCCATCCTCTCCCATCCCTTCATCTCCCATCCTATCATCACACCTCCCATCACACCTTCTCCCCCCTCCCAATCCTCCCCCTCACCCCCTCGTGTCTACAACACTGTCAGAGAGGGCTTTGAGTCTCCCAAGTTTGTTTATATCCCCAACTAGCCGGATGCCAAAGATGCCGCCGGCAACGGGCCTCTGTTTAAGCTCTCATGTCTTGCTGGCTCCTTCCTCTCTCTCTCTCTCTCTCTCCTTATAAACAGTAGTGACGAGGGGCTCATATATATGAAGTTCTTATTACCTAACAAAACCCCCGAATCAATACACTGTAAGTTGTACAGATCTGTTTCTAATCTTACAGAGGAATTCGTACCAGGAGAAAGCTTAATGACGACAGTGATTTATTAGAGAAGCTGGTCCTTCTTAATTAAATTTCCCCAAGAACATGCGTTAACAAACGTCAGTGGCTAAATTTAACGAATAAAAACGCATCTAATGTTAGTGAAACGCATTTCTGGACTCACGAGAAATTAAATGAGGATTTCTACACAAAATATATATATATATATATATATATAGATGTACCCAGGAGCAGCTTGCCTCTAATTCAAAATCAAAACTAGCGTGACGCATTAGAGCTCGGAGGTAGGATGTAGGGGTGTATAATTTATGGGTTTATCTCATTAGGGGGATATATGGGGATATATGGGGATATAGGTGACGATATATGGGGCCCGGAGCATAACCTTTATCGCCTCTCATCTTAGAGAACCGCCCAACCTGTTCCATCTCTTGTTTACTGCCTCCCAGCACCTGCTAGGATGCTGGGAACGACCTGGTGAACATCAGGTCGTTCCCAGCATTCTAGCAGATGTTCTTCAGGTTGTTCCTTGCGTCCTAGCAGGAGAACTTCTGCTAAGATGCAGGGAACGACCTGGAGAACATCTGCTAGGATGTTGGGAACGACCTGGAGAACGTCTGCTAGGATGCTGGGAACGACCTGAAGAACATCTGCTAGGATGCTAGGAACGACCTGGAGAACATCTGCTAGGATGCTAGGAACGACCTGGAGAACATCTGCTAGGATGCTAGGAACGACCTGGAGAACGTCTGCTAGGATGCTGGGAACGACCTGAAGAACATCTGCTAGGATGTTGGGAACGACCTGGAGAACATCTGCTAGGATGTTGGGAACGACCTGGAGAACATCTGCTAGGATGCTAGGAACGACCTGGAGAACATCTGCTAGGATGCTAGGAACGACCTGGAGAACATCTGCTAGGATGCTAGGAACGACCTGGAGAACATCTGCTAGGAAGTTGGGAACGACCTGAAGAACATCTGCTAGGATGCTGGGAACGACCTGAAGAACATCTGCTAGGATGCTGGGAACGACCTGAAGAACATCTGATAGGATGCTGGGAACGACCTGAAGAACATCTGCTAGGAACGACCTGGAGAACATCTGCTAGGATTCTGGGAACGACCTGGAGAACATCTGCTAGGATGCTAGGAACGACCTGGAGAACATCTGCTAGGATGCTGGGAGCTACTTGGAGAACATCTGCTAGGATCTTATGGGTCTTCAAACAGATGTGGAAGACAGCTCCTGACATCAAATTAAGGCACTACATAAAAACCCTAAGTAATCTGCCACTGGTATTCGCAGTGTGATCAACTTGACTGTCCCTACTCAGGATGATGGACACGGTAGCCCACTCCAAGACCTTGATGAGATCCGGTGTAGTTAGTGAATACCAATGTGACGCTGGAGACTGTGCTCTGCGTACGACATGAGTACACTCAACAGGTGATTGATAACAGCCTTAATAAAGAGTATATAATGTACACTGTGACGTACATACGTACGCCATACATAGTACATATATGTGTACACATATGTACACCGTGGGGCCTGACGGCTGAGTGAACAGCGCTCGGTATTCGTAGTCCTAAGGTTTCGGGTTCATTCCCCGGCGTAGGCGGAAACAAATGGGCAGTTTCTTTCACCCTGATGTTCACCTAGCAGTAAATAGGTACTTAGGCGTTAGACAGCTGCTATGGGCTGCTTTCTGGGGGGGTGTAAAAAAAAGGAGGCCTAGTTGAGGACCGGGCCGCGGGGACGCTAAGCCCCGAAATAATCTCAAGATAACCTCAAGAAGAAGATAACCGTAAGTGTACCCTAGTTTAGCATTGTTATCCCCTGGGTTTACTTTAGTTTCCGGTTAATAAGCTATTGAGAAAGGGGGTAGAAATAGTCTAAGCTACTCTATCCCTTTGAGATGTATTTCTTTCTTGTCTCAATAAACATACTTGAACTTGAAGCTATTGAGAAGGCTATATAATAACCTTTCATAGAAAGTTCACCAGTTGGTAAACAACTCAAATTGAAAAATGTTATTCATAAACAGTTAGTTTACGAAAGTTTACGTGAAAATTACAGTACATTAATTACATAAAATAACACTAATAACACCATAGTATATAGACATTGTCAGAATCAGAAATTTTATTCCTAGCAACTTGTACAGATCAATATAATTGTTGCTGGCTTAAACAAGTGTAAATAGCAATGTAAAGGTGGTTTAGTGTTCAATAAACCCTTGAACTGTATGTTTAACACTTCTCTTACCTTGTCCATGGAGGACAGAAGAAAATGTATATATGCTGGTTAGCATTGTAAATGTGTGGCCACGTCTGTGGTAGAAAATAATAAACAAAAAATGTAAATCAAGCACCGAACCAGTCAAGCAAACACCATCTACCAAACCCTAACATCTTGGAGGTAAATCTAGACGATATTTTGAGAACTACATCAAATACAACTCAACATCGGTTGTACACACACAGTTTCAACATTACCATTATTTGATAGGTCCCCCCCCCCCTATGAGAGAATAGTGTCCAATCTACCCCCCACTCATCCCCTCCCTCTGTTGGGTAGTCTAATCCGATTACACATACGCTTGTCGCAGAGGATTAGAGAGAGAGATTATCTTTGATGCACTCGCCAATTGAGTAACCCCTCCGTCACCATATTGTCCTGCTGTATTTTGATCTAAACCTTTCTTCATATGTTACTTCCACAGCCTTTATCAGCAATGCTGTGTCTCAGTGTGGGTTTGGAAATGGGGATCGTTCATGAGTGGAATGGGCTGCCAGCTTGCGTTATTGAGACACAGTTTAACAGGTTTCAATAATTGACTGGACATGGATATATATATAGGTGAGTGGGGGAAGTGGATTTAAATGCAACCCAGTTAGTATGTGCCAACAGACCTGATTTGACACTCCCTAATTTCCACGTTCTTATTTGGTTATATTTGGTATGAATATTTTGGGTAAATGGTTCTTTGAAGAAGAGATGTTGAAGAAATGTTTAGGCAAATATTTGAAGTGTTTCAACATCCAACAAGTGTTTCAACATCCCTTGAGTGGTAGGTTCAGATACTACACAAGTTGGAGAATGTCTAAAATGAATTGTAATAATGCTATCGGATATTTCCGTATATAACTAGTGGAGGTGATGGCATGGTGAAATTATTCAACTGTATGGTGTCCAGAGTGAAGCTGAAAGTCGAGTGTCATACCTGAAGCACTCAAGGAGGTCAGGTAGGCTTTGCTTCACCAGAACATGACATGAGAGCAAGAGGCTTAGAAAGGTGACAAAGCTTATCTCTTCATTACACACAGAGATCACACTAACGTGATAAGGCAGTGTCTGGGAAGCTCCCGGACGCAGGTTCGAATCCCCGTCACGGCCCTTGTGGATTTGCTTATCTCTTCCTTCCACATCATGGGAAGCCCAATCGTGTTCACGCCCTTCATCTCTCTCTATCTCCTTCCAGAGCGTGGCGAGGACCCGCAGGATCTCGTATTCCCTTATGATGGTTCAAAACTAAAGTGTTCATAAGGGTGACGCTGAGGCATGAGACTCGCATCACTATATGACAGCAAGATGGCGTGTACCATCACCCACTTGAAAAATGTTGACAGCATTTTCTTGAGCATTGTCTGTCAAACCGACCGTCAACCGACTGTCAAACTGTCATTGCAGCCGACTGTCAAACTGTCATTGCAGCCGACTGTCAAACTTTCTTAATTTGGTGATGGTGTGAGATACACACCTTAAGACGCATGATACCTATAGGTGTCTAGTGAGAAGGAAGAAGGGAATGGAACTATCAGGAGAAAGCGCCAAGCCATTACGAGTATATAGCACTTGGAAGGGATCAGGATAAGGATTTGGGATGGGACGGTGGGGGAATGGAATGGTGCTTATCCACTTGGACGGTCGGGGATTGAACGCCGACCTGCATGAAGCGAGACCGTCCAGCCCAAGTGGTTGTCGAAGAAGTCGCGAAAATCAGCGTATTTTTTTTTTGTTTGTGTGTGGGAGGGGGGGGGGAGAGGAGGAGGGGAAAATTTTAATGAAATAGTCCAGGAGATAAGATAAGAATCGATAAGGAGATAAGGACATGGGTGATGTCCTTCAAGAGGACATCAATTCTGATGTCCTCTTGATGATCAGTACTCCAAGACGACAATACTGATCTTACTAAATATATACATTTTTTTTATTTATTTAATGAATGAAAAATATCAAGTGGATAATCCTATTGGATGGTGATTTAATTTAACACTCATCAGTGTAAGAATATTTGAATCATTGGTTCAGTATTATTCGACGAATTTATAAATGAGCGAATAAATGAGATAAAAACCAGCTTCAAAAAGCTTGAAGCACCGCATGTCTCCTAAACAGCTTGAAAACCTTAACCGTAATCCCAGCTGGGATTACGGTTAAGGTTTAAGGTTTAAGATTTAAGGATTAAGGTTAAGGTATAGCTTAATCAGTACCTTCCTCTCTGTGATCTTAAGAGACTATAAGGTCATGCCGCGTTGCAGCCTCGGGTCTATGCCAAGACCACGACGTTGCAGACCACGAAAAAGTTGATTTCAGTTGCAGACGATGAGTCACAATAACGTGGCTAAAGTATGTTGACCAGACCACACACTAGAAGGTGAAGGGACGACGACGACGTTCCGGTCCGTCCTGGACCATTCTCAAGTCGTTTTTTTATTGGACCAAAACGTCGTCGTTCCTTCACTTTCTAGTGTGTGGTCTGGTCAACATAGATATACATTGTTTAGCCTTCTTCACCCCCGTAATACCCTAAAAATATATAATACAAGAAAGCATCAAGACAGAAGAGGGAGATAATGCAATTTAAGTTATTACTAAGCAGGACAAATTGACTTCCAAAGATGCCGCCACAGCCAGAGGTCTGCAGGACACAACACCCACCCAGGGTGCCGAGTGACAAGAATGGTCTTCAAGACCATGTCACCAGCACACAGTCATAAATGTTTCATGAATCAGTGGTTTATACCAGTCCGTCCTTCTCCCCCAGCTCAACAGCCAAGTTTC